TAAACTATTTTCTTATTAACCCTCACCAATATGATATGCTCATCCTATTTTGGAAGTTGTTTTTTCCTCCTTATTTTATGTCTCAGGCTTTGATGTATCTGTTTTACCTATTTGATGTTATTTTGGTTGGCTCTGTGAAGTTAAATCAAAGGGATCTGCTAGCCATAATGAGCAGAAAACAACTAATGCCATCATTAGGATATCTTCAGTCAGAATAATAGAATTCTTCAGGGGAAATAATTGGTGAATCAGCCAGTAAGAAATATCTTTCATCAGCCCATTTCTCAAGGTTAGAAAGACCACTGAACTGTAAAGACCACAGCCTGGAGGAAAGCAGAGGGGAACACGCAGCAGGAAGAGTCACAGGAAGAGGAAAGTCTGTCTCAGTGCCAAGTTAGACAGAGGCCATTGCAATGGTGTGGCAATGAGCTAAGGTCATTTCTCAAGACTTCAGATCTCAATAAGTCTTGCAGTAGGTGAGCTCCAGGCTGCTTGCATCCTATGTACTTTGGGGTGAATAAACAGCATGTCTATTTAAAAGACTATGTAATTACTCACATGCCCAGGCCTCCAGAAGGAAAGTGTCCTTTAATATTAACCACCTTGCACTCTCACAGTCAGAGGATTTCAATCATATTAGAGAGATCCATACTGAGACTGAACATTTGTGGGGATCCACACAGAAAGATTTGAATATATCAAGGACTAATACCTAGAGATTTCTTCTCTTAAAAAAAAAAAAAAAAACCAAACAAACAAACAAAAAAAAAAAACCCACAAAAAAAAAGAGTACAAAGCCCTCTTTTACCACTAATCAGACTGAGAACAAGCAATCAAGTAATCTCTGGGTTAGAAAGATTCCCCTAGTAGGAGAACCCACAGGACAGAATCTAGAAGAGAGCTCACAGGAACAATTTACCCAGAAGCAGTCAAAAAAAAAACCAAAAAAAAAAGACATGAAGAAAGAATGACTTCATATGAAATATTTTGATACAACAGAAAGGAAACAAAAAGGTCAAAAAAATTCATTTTGACGCATTCCCATCAAAAATTGTGTTTGAAGCAATGCAAGCCCACAAGATGGTTCAGTTTGCTTTAGATAAATGCTGTTTTGTCACAATTGCTCAGTGTAATATTTTTCATCCAGATTTATAGCTGTGGCAGTAAGTGACTCTTGACATTAATATTGTTCCTCCATAACACCTGTCAATCTCAAGATGCTTTGCTACAACAGTATCATTAAATAGTACCACTCTCTTGTTCTACAAATAGAAGAAAGAGAGACATGGATGGGGACAAAGAACATCACTCTTATACCAGGGTGCTTCATCAGTGGAAACAGAAATGGAAACAATATTTGTGCCACACCCAGAGGACTGGACCATGAAGTGATTGTCACAGCTGCCTTGTGGGCAGCTACTGACTCCACAGACACCATTTACTCTGCATGCACCTACACAGTATTGTGGCTTCCAGGTCAGCAGGGACCTCAAGGTCTCTGACTACCACTCCTGCTACTGCCTCACTCCTGAGGTGAAACTACCTATACCAGCTATTACTAAGGTTTTCTTTAAAAAGGAAACAACCTGTATTCACAATCAAGGCAAGAAAGAAGACATCCTTGCCAGTTACAGTAAAGGTCATCTAGAGCCATGTATAATTCATCTTAGTTCTGTAAATTAAATACAGCAGAGGAAGTATTAGTGGGATACATGAAACACAGCACCTCCTGCAAACCATCTCCCCATCCATCCAACACTACAGCACCCCAAAGGGAAAAGCTCCCATTTGCACTTGAGTAGTTCATGCAAATATTGGTACTCAGAGGCTGGAACTACATTTAAGTCCAGGACCATGTTAAATTTCTAATAATTTAACTGTGTGGGACACCATACAGCATACCTGGGTGACATCTGCTGCCAATATTCACTAGCACAGAGAACAAGCACCACTAGTTTATTTCCATGCCTATTTTCTGCTAGAAAACTCTCCAAATTCCTTAATTTTCTAAAAAAGTTTATTTGTGGACATGTCTCAGCTTTCCATGCTGAAATCCCATGACAGGCATAATATTTCTCTGTTTATATTCCATTTTTTTTAAATTTAGACTAAGACATGATATGCACTTCAATGGTGCATTAAGTTATGCAATTCCAAATTCAACAAAGGCCTATAGAGTTACTTATAATATTGTTAACTATTATTTTGATGGTTGTGTCTTAAGTGACTGTATTAAAAGGGAAATTTAACTTTTTTATAATAATTATTGTGCTGAACTTTCTGCCAAGGTCCAAGAAACTCTTTTGTCTGTTTCACAAATTTTATGTGTAGTAGCCAAACTAGATCAGGATACTCCTTTTAGCAACTCCAGATTGGGTTTCTTCATTATAACATCTCCAGATCTGTAAATTAATGTTCTAGCATGTCTCTTCCCTTAGTAAGAAAACAAGCTCAAGTTCAAACCATATCAGAAGTTTAAAAATATAAAATTATCATATTAAAGGCTAGGAGTTCTATTAAAATCAAGAACATGTTACAAATTATTCTGGAACATTCAGTTTTACAATTTCAGTTCTCAATGAGAAAAAGCTGACATGCTATAAGCAAGAGAGAGCATGAAGCACCAGATACAGCAGAGTACAAACTGTGAAACAACAAACAGTGATCCTTTTGATAGCATGGGGCAAACATGTATAGAAATGTCAAATGATAGCCCAGGGAATAATACTGTCTACAAGTAAACATTAATAAAAACATGGGGAATGTAGACTAGCTAAAAATCAGATACTAGAAATATTTGAGTACTCTTTTCATCTTTTAGATAATAATCTTATCTGACAGACTAATAATCTTTTTTTTCTTGTTCTTTATGCATTCATAACTAAAATCTGTCACAGTATTCATCTTCAGTGAAGACTCAGAACCATTGTATTTTTGGATGGTGTCATTAGCGCTGGTCTCATTTGTGTCTAGAAATGTTTTGGTTGCTATGGAATACAATGCATTAATTATAAATTACTCTCCCAATTACAGTGCAAAAGATTTGGTCAGTGCTACAATAATGCACAGAAGAACTTCGGGGGGAAAAAAAACCAGCAGAAAGCAATTAAAACTTAAGGACAATTCAGCTTTTCTCAAATTGCAGTTCATTAATATATGCTTTAATAAACTGACTGCTTTATTTTAAGAGGCCTTTCTAGAAGGGCTTGATGCTCCCTACAGCAAGGCAGGTGGTGCCAGTTGAGTCAGCTCGCCATTGATTGCTTCTTCCTTGCCAGAGTCTGCTATAGCCAGTGCAAAAAATACACAAAAGCTGACCTTTTCCTCAGGGCCACTGAAATGTCAGCCATCAGATCTAGGTATCCAAAAAGAAATTTAGCTTCTTGAAGCATAGTTTTGACAGATGTCTCTCAAGCTGAAGATGTGGTCTGAAAGCCTCTGTTCATGCATGTCACCAGTGCTTAGTGTGCAGTCATAGCAGAGAGCAGACACTGTTGGTTTTCCTCATATTAATTTGGAGAAAGGATTAGAATCCAGGTCTGTCTCTGGAATTTGGGATGATCATTAGGCTTCAGCATCATGTTCCCTACCTCTGAAATACCATATTATTTGTTGCAAAGAGTTCAATCTATACAGGGCAGTTCAACTTTTCTGGGTGAGGTTACTCTCCTGACAGATAAAATGTGAGGTTTATCTCAGTCAGAGAAGGTATTGAATATTCATCTTCTACATCTTGTGGCAATTTGGGGCTAAAAGTAAAAAATGAACTTTGGTCAGTTATTTGAAAGATCAGTAGAGGTCTCAATTTTCAACCCTGATTAGTGTGTCTGAGAACAAAAGCAAGATCTTAGACCCATTAGGAAAGTCAATGTGTCTCACTGGCTACTCATGGTTCTACCCATACTGGTTCTAACTCACCCAGGTCCTCTTCTGAGGAGCCTCAGAATCTGCCTACGTGGGTGGATGGAATTGAGCTTTGCCTGCACCCTCAGCTCCTCAGACATTGCTCAAGTCAGTAAAGGTGCTTTATTTCAGTGCTGTGGTGTGTTCACATTACTGAATCAGGCTGAACCAGGACCCAGATCAATCACTAAAAGGTTTCTGCAGAGCCAAAATCAAAGATTGTGTGTCCTTTCTTCATCTCTTACCATTATGTGCAAGTTCAAGGCACAACCAGCTCATTTAATGGTAGGCAGCACTATCCCATAATCCATTAGAGGATGTTACTTTTCCATTTAATTAAAGTAATAGAGAGATATATTGCAGTCAGGCTTACTAATCAGTCACTGTAAAAATATCTTGGCCAAAGTCCTGTTGCTTAACAACAGTAATAGCCTTGATTTCTACATAGCTTCTAGGATAATTCACAAAACAAATCTAATAACTTTAACCAAGGAAAAAGCAATACTTCATTGAAAGTAGTCAATAAATACTTACCATGTCTTCTATTTCACAAATGAAATATTTTATTTTATTTCCACTATCTTCCTAAGGAAGCAATGTTTCCATTTCACCCCTCTGCATATGCATGAACAAGTGGGAATATTCACCTTTTGTCTGTTGGTTCCCTACTAAATTCTTTCAAACTTGTAAGAAATCAACCACACTGGGAAAATAGTAAGAGTCTGAACTGGTATTGCAATTTTACAATCAGCAACACAGTTGAAGAGAATGAGCCTTGGGGGGTAAAAAGTGCATGAAATTAGTTTCCCTTACACCACATAATATCTGTACAGGGGGAAATATTTTGAGTGTCCCAAACACACGGACAGCTTTGATCAGCTGCAGCAGACTGCTGAAAACCTGACTACAAGACACATCTGTCCATCTACACCCTGTTTGCCCCACTGCTGATGAAGGCACAAGCAGACACAAAGACATAATGCATATGACTGGAGACTGACTTTTCTCTATTTTCCTGCCCCTGGTAGGAATGTTTTGTCACCAGCACAGTGCCTGTGATTTCTGAGCTGAAGAGGACTAAGGGGAGATACTGTTACCTGGTTTCTGAGGAGGTTTTCTCCATCTGAACGTAGCATTGAGCTGATGTTAGTGACGGGGTCTTAAAGATCTCGGATCTGCTTTCTCACAGATGGCAGAAAGAGCAGGAGATATGACAGATAAAGTCCTTTGATGTTCTACCTCTTGTAGCGAGCCCACAGAAAAGCAGGTTTCTGATGTACTACAACAGGTAAGAAAATGAAGAATTCTGAAAATATAACTGGATATTATACTTATATACCATATACCAGAATAAATACTCATCTTCTTGAGCAAAAATCCAATGGTAAACAATTTCTTAAAACATACATACATATTCTTTCTAGTAATCATATTTTAAGGGATATGAGGAATAGGTGGCTTTCCTTTCACCACTTAATAGAAATTTAAAAGATGATAAAGGATGAAGCCTACATACCATAATTGCACAGACTGCCATTTGTATGATTTTACACTGTCCAGTCACAAACCATATTCAAGGAGAAATGCTGCTGTTCACTGTAATGAATTTCAGGAACATAATTACTGATACAGTAAAAGACTTTTTTTTAATATGAAAACTTACATTAAAAAAAACTGTTTAATTATATTATAAAACATAAGAACAGGAAACAGAACATAGATTAAAAGAACAAAATATTAGCATTTTCTTCCTGACAGAGATGATCATTTCAAGCACTGACTCTGTGGTTTGGAAATAGGTAATTACAGTAGTAATAAAGAAAATTACCATTGCTACTGCCTTCTTGCAGAACATTCACAACTGCTTACAAAGGAATATGAAACATCCACAGTAATAAATGATAAATAATTGCTGCTTCAATATTAATCATCAGTGTTGTAAACAGTGACTTACAGAATATAAATGAAAAAGAGTAATTTGAAAGATCACTTACAGAAAAATATTAGATTATCCTTATTTAAGAAAAATCCTAAAATATCAAAGTGACTTCACACTCCCATCTGCATTTCGCAGCTTGACAATATCTAACCAGTTTTTCCAGCAGGACAATTACTTTTGTCGTCTCATCCATTAGATCCAATGCCCTCCATGTTCTTGAAGGAAATTCTTTACCTGCAGTTGGTAGATATATGATATCATCCCATTTGCATAAATTTTTCCCTGAAATCTGTGGGAATTTGGCCATGATTTCAACAAAAAAACCAAACTTGGCAAGACAGAACTTGACCAATCCTTTTCTCCCAATCTAAACCATTTCTTTGCACATTCTTCATCACTGCTTCCTCTGCAATGTTTTGGGGTTTTTTTAAGAAAAATTATTCAGGGTCACATCCAACTCTGTCTGCATCTTAATAATATTCTGGAGATTTTCCTCTTTGGCTGCTGTTCAAAGATAAGTGCCATCAGTAGGTTTAGCTCTATTAGGTAAAGGCCTGAGCTGCATAGTCTCTAGCAGGAACTTTGCACAATTTGGGCCAGGAGGACAGTGGCTCTGTGTATTTGAGGATGAGTTAATTTATCTTATCTTATACTCCAGGAAGAACCTCTAAATAACTCCTTCTCAGCAGCTATTTAATACTCCTCCAAGACGTGAACATGTTTCTTTCGCTTCCTATGTGCTAAGAGGCAGCTGGGCTTATTAGAAATAACATCAGATATTTCAGTTTAGCTGAGGTTTCCTGAGTGTGAAAGAGGAGGTTCTGATCCTCTCCTTTCACCCTTCTCCTATACTCTAACTTCTGGATCAGTATCAGGAAAATAGTAGAACTCTATCCTAATAGTTAAAAGGGAAATTTAATACTCTATCTGATTTACCATGCAATCAGCACAAGAGAAGCAGGGAAATCTGGTCCTGGAAGGAGGATAGGAAAAGAAGATAGCAAGGAAAAGAAGACTGAAAATTCTCTTGAACTGTTAACTCAGCATCTGCCATTAAGTTATGTTGTGCATCTTCATCCTAATATATCAAAATATACTTCACTTGGACCATATTGAATGAAGCACAGTGGGCAATTACTGCTCCTTTTCCAGAAATGCTGAATTAAACTGTCTTGGCTTTCATAACATTCTATTTAAAAAGGCAGTAGAAAAGACTGTAAAATGGCATGAACTCACAATCTGATCAACTTCTAAGTTCCTTATATCAGAAAAAAAACAAAATGCTAGGAAAAGCCTTAAAGGCTTAACAAACATGTAATGTTTTCCTTCCATTTCACTTCAAATTAAAAAAAAAAATAAATCTATGCAGTGATCAAGGCAATGTATATTTCAATATATGACTGGATTATTTTCTTTTAAATCAAATGAGGTAAACTTTGAAGTAGCAGAATCTTTTATGATCTCTCAAACAATAAGAAAATACCCCAAAATTCAATAAATTCCCCAGTAACACTGTTGGTGTTCTATATCTCCTGGGACTCATTTTCAGAACAATAAATGTTTAACGGGAATTTATTTCTGCTTGTAAACAGTACTCTGTCAGAAAGATTGCACAGTAAAATGCACAAGCAGCAAAGAATTATGAATTAAACAATACATTTTATCTCCATAGTCTGAGGAGAGCATGTATAATGTAGAATTTTCAATGTGAAAATTCTATGCCATTTTTCTGTAACCTGGGCATTATACATGAGACATACACATTGCATATACATGAGACAAAAGAATAGATTGATGGTGCCACAGCTAAAATGCAGAATAATGAATGACAGAGAAAAGGCTTGGAGACTCTTATGCACTGAAACACATGAACTGAATGCTATAACAATGAATATCAAGGAATAACTAGTGTTCTTTAATTAAACCTGTTGCTGCCAGAAGCAATGTACAGCTTACTACATTCCATGGGCTGATTAGATGCACAAAGAGAACATGCTTGCTTGTAAGACAAAACTTGAATTAAAAGGGTGATAGAGTGGGTTAAAATTTCAGCAAGTATTGCAACAGTCAAAGACCATGTTAAACTTTAGTTGAATTTCAGCAAAGATGCTACTTGTTGCCATGACAACAGCTGGAGCGAGAGATATTGACAAAAGAGAACTCTACAATCCACATAAAGGATGAATTATGTGTTAGCACAGACAAAAGAATAGTAAATGGCCTCTGTCTTCTGAACTTCAGAAATACAAACACCTAAGAACCAGACTAGAAAGGATAGTTTTTCTGCTCAGTATAAAGAACAATATATATGACAAATCTTTGACATTGCAGATTGCTGTTCTCAAATAGCTCACCCCTCACATTGGATCTATAAACACCATCTGTGTACACTGAAGAAACATTTCCAGAAATAGATGAGTCATATACCATTATCTCTTGTCAGAACACAGCAGATAGATTTGTAGCAAATGATAAATAAAACAAGCTAATGTCCTAGAATCTATCCCAAGACTTATAAAGTAATTGCTTACATAGAATGGATAAAAAACACTGTGAGTTTATTTTCATGCTGATGACCAACTAATCTAGGTTTTCAGAACTCCCTGCTTGCTTATTACTCTACCACTAACCATGCCTAAATTGACAGCTCTCAGTATACACCCTTCTGGGATTTTACTCAAAATCTCATAGTTTGAACATATACTATAAGGCCTGAAAGATACTACTGATATATTACCTCCTGTGGCTTTCAAACTGAACCAAGGAAGAAGAAAAGAGAGAAGGAACACCCACTAAAGCATACCAAATCAGAGATTTTTTCACTAGCATAGGTCAAGAGGTTTCAGGATCCAGTGAACATGAGTGACTTGCACCAGTGCATATGGTTCTTGCAGCCGATAGTTAAAATCACAGCATGGATAGGAACAGCATGGGCAAAGCCATGCATCTGTGCATACAAGAGAAACATTGTTCAAAAGACCTTACAAAAGCACAAAGATAAAAGGTGGCAAGAGGAGAACCAGAGTAATTTACCTGGCTGGACCCATAATTCCTTAAACAGGTCAATCACTTCCTAGCCTCTAAGGGAACAATCAAATGCTCAAAAGATCTTTTTTAAAGGCAGCAGCCATGAGCCCTCTGTCTGGGCTAAAGCACAGATGACTCCTTCTTTCACACACTGAATCTGCTGAGCTGAGGTCAGTTGAAATCTGAACTTGATGCATTTATATTGTTTAACTTTCCTTTAATTGTTTACTTTGCATGAAAATATTTTTTTCTAATTAATATTTCTATGAATAGCAGCCAGGCAAGGAATCATATATCTTGAATGAAATACTGCTTTCTATGAGGCAAAATGCAGTGGGTATATAAGGCTATGCTACCCATATTTAAAGTGTAGTTCCCAAAGGGCTGCTTCTGTATCAAAACAGCATGTATGCTGAATAAGAGAGCTGGAGAAAAGAGTGAGAGTTGATCAAAAAGTATGAGAGTTGATCTTTATTTTTGAAAATCATAAATGTGTTACAAAGTTTCCTAAAGGAGTGGCCTTATGAACCAAACCAGAAAAGGTTTTGCAACATGGAGACAGTATGCATGGAAATTACTCTATCAGCAAAAAAGAATGAATTGTTGAGAAAGACATCTTTTGCAAATGACACACAGTAGCAATATGAAAACAAAACTTAGAATCTTGGAGGTTCACCATTATTCAAGATGTTGTAAAAAAAGATGTACAAAGTATTACGTCTTCTGCAGTATGAGAAAGGGGAAGGGAAGATGCAGGGTAAAAACCAAATGTAGTCAACCATGTGGCACAAGGAGATCCCCGAGTCTTTGTGGGAATGAGTGCCTATCAATATGAGTAAATTCTGCAAAAGCAACAGTTGAGTTTCATCCTTCACATGAAAGATTAAACTCAACTTTCACATCCAAGGACAAGGTCCTACTTTCCAGTATAAATGTTCTGGAATGAGTAAAAGTAGGGAGAGAACTGTGATTCCATCTGCAGTGTTAGCAGAATTGACTTGGAACAAGAGAGGTTTAACTTTGGGATCTGAAGGGAAGTTCAGAGAAAGACAATTGAACTTGGCAATAAAGCATTGGCAATAATTGTGGTGGCAAGAACTAAGTGTTCATCAGAAGTAAGTAAAACAAATTTAGAGATAGTTTCAACAGCACCAAAGTCTTCTAGAATACAGGTCACAGATTTGAGTGCAGGAGAAAGGCTTCACATGTTGCCTATTCTGAAATAATGCATGGCAACAGGGTCAAGAGGAAAATAGGGAAATTCATTTTATAAAGGTAAGATTTTAAAAATAATTTTATTTATGTTATAAGGT